GTAATGCTGGCTCTGTTGTGTTACTGGTCCCCCCCCGGTAGTGGAAACAGACGCGGGGGCATGGGACCTTATTGGTGCTAATGAACTGGAAACCATTAATACTTTGCAGACCCTCCCTTCTGTGGTGTGTAGAACACATATCGCATGGACAAATAGCTGACTCTCTGTGGTATCCTAATCTGCAAACAAAAAGAAAAACGTGGGCCTCCCCTGAAAAAACACAACCCTCCAGAGTGAATACTCTTAAGTTGGAAATAAAGACCTCTCAAGTTTGGATGAAGTTCAGCACAGAAACTGCAATGCTTCGGTGACTTATGAATTTAGCTCCTTGAAACAGGTTGAAAATATCAGGTTTTCCAGGGGAATGCCAATCAGATAAAGGATGCTTACTGTATTGTTACAGTTACAGTTGCGAGGTGGATTTTAAAATGTGCTATTATGACGTCAGTGACCGTGCAGAAGCTTACATATAAGCCTCAACAAATGAGCACTACCCCGCATTTTGGCGCAATAGCTAGAGATCAGGTCCTGTGCTGGTAGTAGGACACTCAAGTTTATCAGAGGATTTTGCATGCCAACGTAGTACCTGTTAATGAGAATCAGCATTTCATTGTAAGCAACAAAAACACAAGGAAGGGGGTAAGGAGAAATGAAAAGTTTGCAAATTTATGCAAAAAAGGGGGGGAGTAGATTTCAGTCTTATCAGAGGCCAAATATACTGTTGTTACAGCTGTTGGGGGGTGCGGGGAGAACCGCTCTGAGGTGGAAAACATTCTAAATGATCCCATGAAATCTTAATTACTAGGTTCCTATCTGAAAAATCTGATCTCCTTTTTTATCTTGTCTTGCAAGGTTCCTGTTGCCCCCAGTTCACAGCATCTCATCAACAGATGCCAGAGTAATCTCAGTCCAGCAAATTACAATTAAACAGCAATACTTAACAATTAACTTAATACCTCTAACCCAGATCAAAGATAACATTAGTGTTCCAAAACGCCAATACGGGATGAGTTTTTGGTTTCAGGAAGCAGCTGATACTAAAATATGTATTGTTTACTGAGAATTGCTACCTGAAAGTACACTTTTAGAATTTTCCTTAAAAACCCATACACATAACTCTTCTTTTAGAGTCTTCTGTCTTTAATTCCTCACACGATCATCAAGGAATCAGGCGATAAGTCTCAGTTATCACTCTATTTTATTATTGGCATTTTCCAAATATACTTCAAATGCCATCTGGGGAAAAAAGGGGGGACCCTAACGCTTTTGATCCTCATCTTGCTGGTACCTTGTAAACCAGAAAATATTTTTAATTAAAATATATTCTCTTTAATTAACATATGGGATAAGAGTGTGAGTTTGAATCAAATATGAAGTCAATCCTGAACAAGTGATATGTATTTCCTATAAAGCTCAACCATTCTCGTGTGGCACAATTTTGGTTTCCTGATAAAAATCTATGTCGAATATTTAATTCACAGTTCTCTCTTCTCTCCCCAACAACATTGGAACTGGCATTTCTATAACACACGCACAAGCCAACCACAGCTTTGCTATTTACTGTCTCTGAGGCATGGGCAAGCATATAACCTCCTTAAACATGACCTGTAAAATGGGTAGAATACACCCCCTGCACATCTGTTGTCAAGGTTAGAGACAGGTAAATCAAGTGCCTTGGCACACAGTAGGCATTCAATTAATGACTCGTGTTATTGTCATTTAAGGAGGGAAAGGGAGAAAGCAATAATTGCCTTGCCTCCCAGAACTGGTCACATTACCCCAACAATAGTTTAACTTAAAACGAGGAGGTTTGACCAGATGGTCTCTAAAGCCCCTTTCAACTTGAACAGTAAGTCCCTAGAATCACCTTTCAGTTTAACTGGACACTGATAGACATTTTTCCAGTTATCTTAACTTGGGAGGACTTAATGAACAAAAATGGTGAATTTATCAAGTTGATGAATTTACATTCAGGATAACTTTTCTCGTTTCCAACAAGCTTACTTACTGAAGATGAAAAAAAATAAGATTTCATGTTAATTTACTGCTAGCTTCTTGGTGTCTTATTCTAACATCACAGATCAGAATAATTTTAAAGCTGCATTTGTCGATTTTTTTTTCCACCTGCAATTTCTCATTTCCAGGACATTATTTCTTAGATTTTTCTGTTTCCCCAAATACCTACATGATCATTAAAAGAGGTTAAACAAAGGAAACCCTCATCCCCACCCCCGTCCCAAACTGCACCAGTTTAAAATAACATTTTTAAAATCAGTTCCTATTCCTATTTTCATCATGCTTTGCTGCAAACGATATTCTATAGCAACACAGACAACAAAACGTTAGTAGTTAAGATTATTTAAAAGGTCTATTTCCATTTACAGTTTCGACCCTGAACGCTTAAAAAACCAAGACTTTGAAGCATATGTCCTAACAATTCAGACCCACTGCAGAGCCTCACATGATCTGGGCTCTTTAAACACTGGATGGCTTGTGGGGCCATCAAACATAATAATTCATCTCAAAAGCTATTTGTTCATCTGCCTTGAGGACTCAAACATATTACATCTTGCAAACTTATGTAATATATTCTTGTGGGAGAACGCCATTGAAAATATGTCCTACTGCTTTAGAAAAATCAACACCAGAAAAACCCCTATGCTTTATTTAAGTTCCTTTTAGGAATAGGCCAACATCTAGCCGACTGCAATTTAGTCCAAATGGCAATATACCATATGTGACAACCAGTCTCCAAAACAATAAATCTGCACAGCTATCTTCCCAACTGCATGCATATGGCAATCAGATACACTGCTAGGTGGGTTTCAAACATTTTCAGCTTGTCATATGCCCTCCCACACAACTCTGTTCCCCAAAGATAGTCTCCAATGTGAGTTAATTATGAACTATTTTGGAAAACATGCTACAGTACTCTCGGGGCTAAGAAGACAGAATAGTTATCTTGGAAACAAATATTTACAAATCCTCTATTTTTCTTTTTTTTAAAACAGTTCAATTAAGCAATAGTTGACAGCACTGAAAACAATGGGAGTTTGGTTCCAAAAGATACCGTCTGGAAATAACTAGTATCTGGAAGAGAAGTAGGGGAGAAGTTATGTTAAGGTTTGCACAGGAGACTGTGGCTAAGATACGAAGGCTCTATTCAGAGCAAACAGTTTGAAAAAGCCACATTCATCCACCAAACGAAAAGGACGAATTAAACTTTCATAATTCATAATTTAACTGAGACGTGTCAGCCATCTTTTGGAGACCATTAACATATTAAATTCACAGAGCATTCATTAGATGTATATGGTCACCTAAGTAGCAGGTGACCATAAATTCACAAGCATGATCAATTCTTTTTCCCCCACACTCCTCTAGAAAGCAGAAAACACAAAACTTTCAATAGCAAATGTGCAAACAAGTATTATGCATCTATACAGATACATATATATATGTACCTTGCAAATATATATTTTAAGGGGGACAGGACAAGATCTTGTAAAACAAGTATCATGGGAACGTTACTAATCAAGATAAATTTCCCAGAGAAAACTGCCAAAAAGAAATTCAATATTTTAATTTACATTATCTGATTATCTTAGTTGGGACAATGAACCAGAGCGAGTGTACAAGCAAGTTAACATTCTCCATATCGACTGGAAGGACAATTGCCCTTAACAGATTCTATCATACCCCTCCCCCCAGTTTTTTTTTTTTTTTAATTCTAGGGGCTCAAATAATTGGCCGCTGCGGAGTTTCTCAAAAATCTCTCAAACTCGTAACACTTAACATGCTAGAAAATGAATCCAGCACCGTAGGGGAAAGTTAGTTGCCAGAGAAATGGATCATAAAGCTCTGAATGGCCTACAAATTGCAAAGGGTACAGTAAGGTGCCAGAAAGAATATGAATGTGAAATCGTATAGTGGGTAGAAGAGGAAACATTTTATATGCAGTCTTACCAGGGATAACAGTCCTCCCCCCACCCCCCGCCCCTAGATTAACTGCAGCCTAGTTTCACTAGCAGACGTCTTGCCTGGTAAGAGAATTTTATACATTCCAAGTCTAAAATGGACACAGACCTTTCAGACCCGCTCTGGCAACCCCTTTAGGTTTCTTTTTCATAACACGACTGAATACGAGTGGTTGCTATCGACTCCATAGCGCCTGAGCTGATAAGAGAAACTTTCCTGTTAAGACTAACGAGCCAGATAAAAATTAGATCTACTTTCCTCAGAAATCCCAGCTCTTTACTTCTCCCAGTAAACTCTCCACCCTAGTTTGACGACATGTAAAACCACCAGAATCACATTAATTATTAAATTATAGACCGCATATCAGACAAACCACCATGATTACGTAAAAATTACCTCTAATTTCTGCAACAGAGTACACCGGGCTATTTTAATGCTTTATAATTATCCACCCCCTCCCCCCACTCTTTTTTTTTTCCTCTTCTCTCCTTCCACTCTCCCACCAACGGAAAGGAATCTTTGCAAATGTAAATCAGAGCGGGTAATTTGGTAAGAAGGGATCTTTAAATGGGCCACGAGAGCTCCATCAGACCCGCATTTCAAATGACACGAGCGTGCACGCGCACCCCGCCCCGGGACGCCGCGCCCCGCTCCCCGGTCCCCACTGGCCGGACCCCCAGACCCCGCGTCAGGCTCGCCGGTGCTCACCTGGTCCCCCGCTCCCCGGTCCCCCGCCTGGAACCCACGCCCCGCCGGTGCCGGTCCCCGCCCCGACCCCGGTCCCCGCGCCCCGCTCGCCGGTCCCCACCCCGACCCCAATCCCCGCACCGCTCGGCGCAGCACGTCCGGACACTCGCCCCGCTCCCCGCGCCGCCTCCGAGACCCAGGGGAAGGCGGCCGCTCCGGAGCCGCCACCGCCCGCTCTCGCCCTCCTCGGGGCTCCGCGAAGGAGACCTGGCGGCAGCCGCCCGGCCGAGAGCGCGGGGAGAGCGGCCCCGCGTGCCCCGCGGGCTCACACTCACATTCTGTCGGGAACTAGCAGGCGGCCCTCGACCATCATGTCCGGGAGGAAATCCAGCTTGAAGGCAGAAGTCATGTTCTCGGCGCGCGCTCTGCGCTCGGGCGGCGGGGGGCGGCTGTGCGCGCGTCCGAGCGGCCGCGGGCGGCGCGAGACGGGCAGGGACAGGTGCGCGCGGCCTCCCGGCGGCGGCCGCCCGAACCGGCACTTGTCACATTCTCTCCCCTCCCGCTCTCCGCCAATCCCGTCCGAAATCCAGCGCCCCGGCGACGGTCTGCGGAGCGCCAGGTGCGGCGAGCGGAGGCGGAGCTCCGCGCCCGCCGCGCCGCCGCTTAACCCCTGCGGGCCCGCCCGCCCGGCCCCCGGAGGGAGGGACCCGCCCGAGGCCGGCGGCGGGGGAAGCTGAGCTCACCAGCTTTAAAAATAGCCAGACTTTCCTAGGGTCCCCAGCCTCCGGAAACGCAAACTAGTTCCCCACGCTGACTCGGTCCAGTTCCACTCAATTCCCTATTTCCACGGCGCCTGGCACGAGGCCCGAATAACCGCTGTAGTAGATTTAGTGCCACTGTATCGCCAAAGCCTTAGTTCACATGCCGGTCAAAACCCAACTCCCAAGCCGAAGAGAAACGGAACCCTCATGAGTTTTTGCTGAAAACGCTTTTCTGCGCGATCTGCTCGCCAGTGAATGAACTAACAGTAATAACTGATACAGCATTCGTGGGTTAGCCCAAGCAAATATCAGATAAATGGCCCAAGTGACATTTAGGGACTTATCTCAATGCTTTAAGGACAAAGAGAACTCCATCTCCACACAATTACATTTCCTTTGTATTCTCTCGAAAAACGAATTAGTTAGGATAAGGGACTGAAAATGTGAATCACAGTAATCATGTTTTCTTTTAAGAAATCAAATCTGTCATTTTCTAGTATTTAATAAAACGACCGAAAACCAACGGTGACTTTATCGAAAGGCTGTGAGATCTATAACGTAGTGGACATGAAGCTTAACGCCCATTTAAGATTTGTGACTATTTACTAATAGGGCTTGAGGAAAATGGCAAAAATCTCACAAATGAACAGAAGAAGCAGGGAGTTTAATTTTCCCAAGTGATTTGCAAAATTCTTGAAAGGTAAGTAAGTGGTGGGGCATTCCCATTCACTGTTGTCATTGTTTTGTTGTTTGGTTATTAGGATGAAACCAAACTTTTCACAAGGTCACAAGTACGGAAAACTCCTATCTCATGTGCTAACGCGTCATTAATTGCATACCAGAAGTTTACAGTTTGCCTCTTTTTTGGTCATCACTTCTATTATGTAATGACATCACACCTGGCGATGTAGTCATGGTAACCAGGGGATTAAACAAGTAAGTCACGTGTGTAGTCAAATCTATCAGGTGTGAGATGTATCAGACACCATAATACAAAGAAAAGATCTTTTCTCACCAACTTCTTGTGTGATATGAGAACTGACCATCTTTGGAGATTATGAAGGAAAAGAAGTATTTATATACCAATTTTAAATCCAGGCTTGATGGATGGAGCACTATGAAGTTAACAGGCCTGGAGTATTCAATTAAGTCCATACATCCTTAATGGACTTGATTTCTTTCTTCAGCTGAACAATATATCTGGCTTTGACCAACACAGTTCTAATTCCAAGGCCAATGTAGGGCTAGGACTAACCTTCATTTGAAAATACGGTCTTTCTGAGGAACGAGGTCTAGGTTCATAAGGAATTGAAAAACAGATGCAATAAAATGAATTCTTAGATCCAAAATACCCAAACTTTTCCTGATAGCACTAATTTCCATTTATTCCCTATTCCTGCTACTCTAGGCTGCCTTTCGAAATTATAAGAATTTTGTTGGTCTTTCAATAATCTTAATAAAGTAATTAACTGGGTAAATGAGACCAACCTTGTCAGTTCTTGGTTTTCATGTATTACTTATATAAATCCCAAATGTATATAATGAACTGACCGTATAACAAATTTATTTTAAGAATGAACCGAACTGGCCTCCAGAACAGAAGCAAAACACAACCGCATTAATCAAAGAGAGAAAGATTTCCAAATCAGCTGTGGAATAAAGCTACATATCTACATTCTGTAAGGTAGAAAAAGCTTCATTAACATGTACACTTCTGAAATATTTATTTTCTCTTTAATTGCATGTGAATTAGTTGGGAGAAGCTGTAGGGAAGCCCTCTTACTGACTTAAGCCTTCTCAGCAGTTTGTTAAATTCTAGCCTCAAATCCCTTGAGGCAATAGTGGATTCAAAGCAGCTTTTAATCATACTATAAGGAGGGTGAAGTAGTATGTAAGTAGGTCATAGAGAAAGAATTACAAGTGCATAGGTTATTGCCTTATTTAACAACTACAGCGTACCCGAGTTTTCAAAGCACATTTGCTTTTGCCATTTACAGTTCGAAAGAAACCAGGGTCAAATACAAAAAGAAAATCATTCTTACATGGGATACCGTGACAATGTGAACCAAGGAATGCTTATGGAGTGTCGCTGAGTTTAAATAGTTTGGCTGCCAAATACATAAATAATACAGTGACTGTACAGGTACTTGATGGAGGTGCCAAAGAGAAACAAAATACACACACATACACAAACACACACACACACACACACCCCATAGGGTGTTGTTTCCATGATCATAGCACATGCACAATAGCCCTTTTAAAAAATACCAGTTTCAAAAGGTCTTGAGTCTAAAAACGAAAACAAAACCAAAACACCCAACCAAATACCACCTGATGGAAAGCGTAAATTTCTCTTTTCACTGCTTTGGCAGAAGGAAGAAACAAAAATCCAAAAACAACTCAATGGGGCCCTTTTTTTAATTTTCATGCAGTCATGAGCCATCAGGTATCATGTTTTGGCAGTTCGTGTTATTTGGCAGACAGTTCCACTGGGCCGCTGTTGAACACTCGGGTTCAATGGAGCTATTTTATAGCCAGGGATCTTATCAACGGCACTGAAATGGGATGAGGCCATCAGCGGGCCCCTCTCACGGACTTGACCTGGTTGGTGTCACCACTGTGTGCTGCCATCACTGGGGACGGTTCTGTTGGGAATAATGAAGTTTCCTCATAGTTTTCACTTCATGGTAGAAAAACCTTAAGCTCTTCCCTAGGCCCATCCCCCTACCTTCCCTAATTGTCTTTTTTTTAATCAACTTGCTATTCATTTCCCAAACAAAAGGCAATTCAAGAATTGGAAGCACTTCAAGGGAAAGTTTCTGAATGACCTCATTTTATATGAGGCCTTCCAAGGCAATCGGGTGCACTGTGCTGTTTCAGCAAGCCGCTCCGCCCCCCCACGCCTCATCTCAAACTGAGTTTTTTCCAATGGTCATTGTTTGAGCACTGAATTATCAGTGGCATTAAAAAAAAAAAACACACACACCACAAAACGCTCAATAGAAACAGCGTGCTAATAAAATACATAGAGTACACACTAAGAGAACTAGAAGAATCCTATCCCTGTCGCCCCACTCAATCAATGAACCAGAATATAGTCCTTTGATTATAGAGCTTTCAACATTTTTGCATAAAGTTTATAACCATATCTTACAGACGGGTGCTTGATATATGGTGATTAGTGTTTACAAGCAAACAATTTTTCCCCCTACAGACAACCTTGTATATTTTATGACAAGTTTCCATTTTTTAATGGTTCCTATACACAACGTCACACATTGCAATCTTTAAAAGCAGAAGACTATCAGCTGTTATCGGAGATGTGTCAGTACTGTTCCATCTACTCAAAAAGCCTCCTTCACAAAAGGGTCTCCCCTCCCCCCAACTTCTGGCTCACCATTGCAAACTGGAATCCAAAACATCTTTCCCCTATCACGTTTTCAAATTCAAATTTTATTAACATAGCTGTTTCAGCTTAAAAAAAAAAAAGCCTAATGTGCTCAGAGCCATTTGGAGCAAGAAATACAGGCCCTATAAGGGGATTTCCTATCATTTCTAGCCAATAAATTTGAAATCCACATGAATTTTAAGTACCTGAGAGAGTATCTGACTTTGTGGCCATGTGTTCTTGGCTTACTCCAGGTTCATTAGCAACTTGCAAAAATAAACAATGGTGTTTTTGATCTGCTTAAAAAAACCCAAACAGATCCTTAAGTGATACATATAAATATATCTTTTCTTCATCCCATAAAGGTATCCCTTAAAAAATACTTATATGGCCAATTATAAATTTAAAACGATCACTTTATTATTCACCAACCCCCTCTGCTCCCCCCCCCCGCCACTATTTTCAATTGAAAGCTTCTGGAATGGTGACTCTGTCACATTCCTAAAATGACTTAAGTAAAATTAAATGCCAATAAAGATGAAGTAGTTATTAAAGTCTTATTTTACATTTCTTACAGGAATTGTAAGTAGTCACTCTCCCTTGAGAACAGCTGCTACTTACTAGCTTTCTGCAATCTTGTGTTTTTCTGAATCTGTTTTTAATAGAGCAAAAATACATAATGGTGAATTTATCTTCCTTCTGAAGAGGCCCTCAAAATGAAGATGGTTCTTTGTATACATACCTTCGTGCTCCGAAATGAGAGGCCCCTCTTGAGTTTCCAGAAGCTTCCATTCCAAGGGGATGAAATGCTAACACCGTGGGTCTCTCAGACGCAGAGCCCAACCAGCCCATCACTTCCCTCCCCACCTTGCCCTTTCCCTTGCCTTTCTCCATGATACCCCTGCTGCCTCCTTTCTGTCCCCGCTCTTAGCTTTCTCTCTCAGATGGCAGCCAGGCAATGCCAGAAGCTTCCCCCTACAGCTGTGTCTGAGGAGGCAGGTGACTACCAACGTGAAGGGAGTTGTGGTTGGTTGCTTATCTGCAGGAGAAATCAAGTTTGCCTCGCCTTGACCAAAGCTGGTTTCTGAACTGGGAACAGCTGTCTCTGGGTTGAGCCATGGGATTCCTTTCCAGACGTTACCAGAGGGTGGGAGGGGGAGGATGCAAGTCTGTGTCCCATGAAGTGAGGACACAGAACATGAACATGGGGAAGAATGGAGAAACGGTGGCCAGAGGAAAAAGGTCTAGTGTGGTGCTTTGCACGCGAAGGCACTCCTCTGAAGAAATGTTCCAGTGGCCTCTTGAAGATCCTGAGAAGGGTCGGACTACACCAGGCACCCTTATCTGGTGCCAGCCTGGCGGCAGGAACAAAATTTATACCCATCGGAATGAGGCGTTTAATTCTCTGGCAGTCTGCCCTCCAACAC